ACACTCATCACATGTTTATTGTTTAAATTATTACACTTATATCTCATCAGAAATGATGAGTGTAATATATGTAAAAAATTAGGGGTAATTCATGTAAGAGGAATGAATGATTCGTGTAAGGACAAAAAAATAATAGATGATTTGTGTAATTTCACTAAACTCGGGGGTGTTAGTGTAATTAACTATATTTTTATTTATCATTGACTTTTAAATAAAAATAATGCAAATGAACAGTGGATAATACATTAAATATATATATTTTTACATTATCAGAATATATATATATAAAAGACTCTATACTTGATTCAACCACCCAAAAAAATTTGTCCCCCCTCCTCATACACAAATCCTGGTCACCTATATATTATCAATAAGACAACTAATACACTTTGAATTCAAATTATTATCTTTATTTTCCTTGCAAATCAAACACACATATAATAAAAATATCTATTAGATCCCGTTAGTTGTATTCTATATATCACTTTTATTCAAGCTAGTTGAAGTTGCAATAACAAGGAGGAGGATAATGTCTTCGTATGGTTGTCAAAGTTGGATGAAGTTGAGACCTTAATTAGTGACAACTAATGAATTCTCGACGAGCAACAACATAGGCATAAACAGCCACTATGGTTTCAACAAATTTATGCTTCAAACTTCTCACATATGCTTATTCATAAAAACTAATTAGCCATTTTGGTCTTCTTTTCTATCTCTTTCTTTCGCCACAATATCCTTCCCCTCTCTATATTTCTACCTTCTTCTCCAAAAAAATTGTGTAATGTTTTTTTATAACTTTAATAGGTATTTCTGGTGGTTCTCTTTAAGAGTTGGTGCACAATAAATGTGCCAATTAATGGTAGCAAAAAGGAACGTTAATATGAGAAAGTAATACATTTTTTTCTATGTTAAATCTGAATAGATAGATGTGTATTTAATTATATTTTCTAATAATTGTTATTGCGTATGGTTCACTACTGTTCTTACTAGATGACACTTTTATGTTAATTTGGTGTATACTTTCCTTTTTGTCATCTTGTTCTTCATTTTTTATTTTATTTTCTAAGTATATTTGGATTCACAAAACATTATATTATTTTATCTAACATTTATTTAATTTCATCTCATTTGAATTTATTTATAGTTTATGTTTATCTTATTAGTTATTATTTGAATTGTTATTATCTTATCGTTTGTAATTTTGTTTCCTATATAATTAATTGTTTAAACTAACTCATACTTGAGTTTGACAAATTTTTATCATCCCAAAATTATTACATGGTACCTGTAATGGAACAAATATCATCTATCACAAGAAAACTCTATCTCTATTCCATAGAATTACTACAACTAATATAAAAATATTAGTTTATATTTGAGTAAATTACACTGAGACCCATGAGTTTTAGTGAAATTATACAAATAATCTCTCCATTTTTTACACATATAAAAAACCCATAATTTTTATACACATACTACACTCGCCACCCCTGCATGAGAAATAAATGTGATTTTTTTAAATAAAAGAGATGATAAGTGTAATTACGTTAAACAAAATATGATATATTGTGAAGACAAATCCAAATAGTATACAAATCAATATATTTTCATTACTTTTGGTTCATTGCAAAATGCATCAATAATTTTAATGAGATATTATTTAAATAACTCTTATATTATATTATAACGAACAAAAATAATGAAAATATATTGACTCGTATACTAATGGACTTGTTTCTACAATATACCATATTTTATTTAACTTAATTATATTTATCACTTTCTTTTGTTTAAAAAATCACATTTGTGTATCATAATGCACGGGTGGTCAGTGTAATGCATGTTTATAAAGTAGGAGGTTTTTGTAAGTGTAAAAAATGAAGGGGTAGTTTGTGTAATTTCACTAGAACTCATGGGTGTCAGTATAATTTACTATTTATATTTTTGTACTTTTTTTATAATTAAATAACACATTTTGATTGATCCGAAGAACAAATGGGAACATAGATGGGGATATGAGATCTTCATTTCCTATTTTGTATCAGAGCATCTTCATCCTACATGACTTCCTTGGTCACAATTAGAGCTGTCAAAATGGGCGGGCCTATGCGGGCCGGCCCGTCATAACCCGGAGTTTTTTAGGGCTTGAGTATCATATTTGACACTTTTTAGTGAATCCGTGCTTTTTAGCCCCGGCCCGGTTGGGCTATATTAAAACTGGGCTCGGGCCGGGCTTACCCGGCGCAGGCTCGGGCTACCCGTTTTTTATTTATTTTAAAACTTTTTTTGGATATTTGGCTTGGTAATAAGCTTAAAGTGAAAATTATTTTACAAAATAACTAATAATAAAAAATAGATAATAGATGATAAATATTGTGTTATGAACTTTGAATAAAAAATAGAGTAATGTCTATAACATAAATATTTATAAATTACAATAATGTTATCAAGTTAAACATTATATTTTTTTTCTTATTTTGCTTAATATCATTTTAAGCACATTAGCAAAATAATGTATCAAATTAAATAAGAACATTAAACCATATAGATTCCATTTTTATTTTCTTAATTGTATATTTAATTAGATTTAACTTATACAACAAAAACATAATAAAGAAAATAACTTTTACAACGAATCACAACTTAATTGTTTACCATAGAGAATTTCACACAACCAAATTTAACATAACAGTTCACAATGAAAATGTTGGTAAAGATTATACAAAAGATATCTATAACAAAGTAAAGAATCATTATGATGATGGTTATAATTCAACACATAGACTTCATTCTGAATTTGAGTCTATACTATCATTACTACAAATCAAAGTATTATTTGTTAGTGTATCCATTTATTATATTGAAGTGAAGTTACAACTTATATTGGGTTAGAGGTTGAGAGTTCAATAACAATAAGATATTTAATAAATGAGTTATGTTATGAATCATATACGTAGATTTGACATCACGTCTTAACTTAAACACATGATATTATATCTATAAGTTTGGTTGCATTGAGTATAACAATTGTGTTAAAAAGTTATGCATTGATATCAAATGTTATATATATATATATATATATTAAATATGTTAATTTTTTTTATTTATTATTATGCAGGCCGGCTCACTACAACCCGAAACCCGCTTAGGACGGGTTTGGGCTACATTTTCATATACAGAAATTGTATCCGGGCTTTTTAGCCCAACCCGGTTTAGCCTGAACCCGCACGAGTAACCCGTTTTGATACCTCTAGTCACAATTCTGGTATCGTGATATTGAAAATTCAAAATTGTAATTAATTATCTCATTTTATCATGTCATATTCTCATTTGTCAACAACATAACCACATAATTCCTTATTACACTAAACAAGTATTCAAATAAATACATTTTTCCTAATTTCCTTTTTTTCTTATCTACATTCCGTGATGTCTTTTCTCCCATTGAGAAGTAATCTTAATAATTACTTCTTTTCTTATGAACAATCACTCTTCCCCCCAACAACTATTTCGGTGAAGTATTTGATGCATCACAATATGCAGCATTCTTTTGGGTTGGGTCTACGTGCTCTCTTTCACTTTTTGTGATCTCATATGTTCCCTTCTCTCTTTAATTTAAATTGGGATACTATATTAAGAATCTTTAATTTCTTCTTTTGGTTCATTTTATTATCTCAACATCCAAAATCCAACCATATTATGCCGTTCGAGTCGACTACATTAAAAATGGCAAATTTATATATTTGGTGTACCTTAAATTTACAGTCTTTATGTACCTTTAATATTTATTACCATTTTGGTGTAGATTTGGGAAAGTCGGCTACTGCAGTGGAGTTTTTTTTTTTTTTATTTCTCCCTCCTAACTCGGCTACAAGGGAGGAGTTTTACTTTTTAATTTTTCTCTCTCCCAAAACTTGGTTGTGTGGTGGGAGTTTTGATTTTAATTAATTTTTTTTATAATCCTCTCTCCAAAATCGGCTAGTGCAATGGAGTGTGTATTTTTTTCACTCTCCCTCCTAACTCGGTTACAGGGAAGGAATTTTACTTCTTATCTCTCCTAAATCTTATCTCTCCTAAATTGCCTCTTTGAAAGGTGTTTTTAATATTTTTATAAATATATATAAATTGACTATAGAAGAGGAGTTTTATGTTTAATTTTTTCTTTCTACAACACTACCACATACAAATATTTAGTAAAATAAAAATATTATGCAACACACTCACTGATATAGAAATACATTTAATATTAGAAATATAAATATTATTAAATCCCAACATTCTAATGACGCATATGTGATGAAGTGTCGCATGGTAGTGGTTTTCTCTTTCTTGGCGGTTGAACTCTTAATTGTTATTCATTCCGCTGTGAGATTCTCCCTCTAGCACGTGTTGCTAATTGTGGTTGTTCTTCTTCCCCTTCTTCACTAAAATCACAAACAATATCCCTTATAGTAATTATCTACATTTAAAAAATAAGAACATTAAATAAATAATTTATAACAAACTTAAATTTACGAAGAGAAAAAAATAGTAATTAGATTACTAAATTAACCTTTCATGAAAAATGAATGTTTGAATAAGTTACCTCAATGGATGAAGAAAGTGGAAGCAGAAACCAAAACAATGAAAGTGAAATGAACTGAACCAAACTTCAAACAAAAATACTACTCGGAATAATATATATAATAGCAAAAGTGAAAAACTCCTCTTCTATAGTCAATTTATATATATATTTATAAAAATATTAAAAACTCCTTTCAAAAAGACAATTTAAGAGAGATAAGAAGTAAAACTCCTCTCAAACAGCCAATTTATGAGAGAGAGTGAAAAAAATATACACTCCATTGCAGTAGCCGATTTTGGAGAAATAATTATAAAAAAAAATTAATTAAAATCAAAACTCTCACCGGTGATAAATCCAATATGTAAATTTGTCTTAAAAAATAGAACTGAACCGCTACACCCTACACTTTTGCTCTCATTGTTTTCCACGTCTAAACGATATAGTGTTCCGAATGCACTATTCCTTCTTTCTCTTTCATTCTCTCACGCTCTCTCCCTTTTATTATAGATATTATGGTAACAAAAATCCTTGCAAATCAAACACACATATAATTAAAATACCCATTATATTATATCTTATTTCCATTCCATATATCATTTTTTTATTCACTTTGCTGCTATACTTCACAGCTTCTGCAAGAAGATTTGAAATCATAGAAAGGATGAAGTTGTGATGACAGCGACAATGGTTGAAGTCACGACGGTAGAGATGGCCGTTGAAGTTTTGACGGCGGCAAAGATGAAGGTTTGGAGAAAGATGAGAAAGGTTTCTATTGAATTTGAAAAGATGTGTATTTAAATATATTTTTTAATATTTGTTGTTGTTTATAGTTCATCACCTTTCTTACTAAATGACACTTTAATTTGGTTTCTATTTTTTATCTCACTCTATTAACTTCTTTGTTATTTTATTTTGAACTTCATGTAAAAAATTTGTTGGTTTGGTATGTGATCCCCATGTTTTGCTTTTATTGTAGAGAAAATGAGGTATTTGATTCATCACAATATACAAAAAAAAAAATTGGGTTGTGGCTACTTGTTGTCATTCACTTTGTGTTGTAATATGTCCCCTCTCTATTTCAATTTAATTGGGATACTATTATATTAATATTATTTAATTGCATCTTATTGGTTTTATTATCTAAACATCCAAAACATGACCTCATATGACGTCTTCAATTATATATATATATAAATAAGTTTGGCTAACTTAGGGAAAGCAGCTTTTTAGTTGGTGTAACTTAGCATTGTGCACCAAAAATTTCGGACAAAATTAACCTTCACATTTTATTTATAAAATAATTAATTAGGAGTAGTTTTATAAAATAACATGTCATGGTTTTATTGGTGAGGATCACTCGTCCTGAACGATATCTCATTTCATGTCCTGAACCTATAGCATATTACCATATGAATAATTTTTTTAAAAACAAAATGAAATATTTTCATTGGCTTGGAATAGAGAATGAGACATCACACCGTTTAGAAAAGGTGATCTATGTTGAAGAGTGACATTTTACAGAATAAATCTCTCCACATTTCATCCTTTTATTTTGTGTCCCTCTCACTATTCAGTTTGAGTTTGACCCGTTGCCAGCCACCGGCAACTCTTTTTCTCTCAATTCCAAATGGCGACCCCACCCCTGTTTCCTACCTCCACTCTCTACAGGATCTTCTAAACTTCCTCTTTTCTCAGCACAAACACATTTGTTAAATAAACTAACACACAACCTTTCCTTTCCCTTTCTTCCTTTTCTTCCTTTTCTTCCTTTCCTTTTTCCTTCTCCTCAAACCCTAATCCACACACTAATATAAAAAGACAAAGATATCTATCATCTACTCTTAGCTTTGGCCTTTTTTGTAATTTACTTCTCTATGCTTCTTCCCTAGCCAGTTATATATTATCATTACATGAGTGATGAGATCTATATCCCTATGTGTTTTCTTTCTCTCCTTTTTATAGTAACTTCTTTCTCCAACTCAAAGAAAGACAAGCTAGATATCAAGTTATCAACTATCAAGCAAAGTAAAGATTTGCTTCCATTGCTGATCATCATGGATTTGATCCAAATATATGGTGCTTTTTCTAAAAGGGTGTCTTTCAGAATTAGATTTCATTCTTGGGGTTCTTCTTTATGCTTCTCTCATTGCCATAATTAAGCTTAATCAATAATTTTCTATTTTAAAATTAATTCCTTTTATCACTTTTTCTGTTTCCTTTTGTTCCCCACTTTTGCTTGATTTGCAAGCTATGAATTCTGGTAATAGTGGAAGTATCTCTTCTAGTGGTGATGAAGAATATGATTCACGAGTTGATCACACAACACTACTTACTTCAACCTTCCCCAATCACCCTCCTACCCAATTTGCTCAATCTTCATCGTTTCACACCCATCATCATTATAATCCATCTTTGTTTGATCTTTCATCAAGCTACCTCAACTCTCTCTCTCAATCTCAACCAAACACAAATCTAAACTCTTTTCTAAATTTGGATACCACTACTTCTGCATCTCAAGGCAAAAGATCTGAACCAAATTGCACCGACCCTACAAACCTACAAGGAGTTAACCAATGCTTGTTTCCACAACCTCATGGCCTTGGCCATGATGACAACAATGCAAGGGTGTTTTCAGTTTCAAGTTCAGTACCAACCAATAATGCAGCACGGAACTCAAAGAAGAGAACTAGAGCTTCAAGAAGAGCACCTACCACAGTTCTCACCACGGATACCTCAAATTTCAGAGCCATGGTTCAAGAATTTACTGGCATCCCTGCACCACCTTTTTCAGGCTCATCATCTTACTCTCTCACTCGCCGGCTTGACCTTCTCCCCGTTTCCTCCTCTTCCTTAAGGACCAGTGCATCTCATCACTTGGACACAACACCCTCTTTTAACCCTTTCCGTCCTTTACCACAAAAACTTCATCATCAACAAAACCCTCTTCCTTCAACGTTGTTGCATAATAATAACATGGTTGATGCTATAGCTTCTTCAAGTACCAACAACAACAATAACTTCATTAACTACCCACTACCACCACCTGATCTGGGTCTATCCTATCACAACCACTCGCAGAACATCATGCTAACCATTCAACAAAACCACCCTAATATTCATCCTCTTCATCCTCTAGGAAACCATGTCCTTTCTGGGTTTCATGTAAAGCCTCGAACAAGTTTATCCGTACAGTCACTTGAGGAACTTGGCATGAATCATCGCCAAGTGAATAATGCTGATCTTGTTGGTAGTGGGGTATCTGTACCCCAAGGTCATGGCCATGTAAGTTCTAATCACGCAAATGAAGATAGAAGAGAGATGAATTTTTCAAAAGCTTCTGTTGCATCAAGGAGCTTGAACCATGAAATGACTTTAGAGAATAATAGCACTAGTATTACTAGAGTGGAAGGTAACGTTGATTCGTGGATTTGTTCATCTGATTAGGATGAATTCGTGTAACGGGTACAGAACCTTGTAATCATTACATAGTAGAATATATATGATGCTGCAATGAATTAAGATCGTGATCATGATGATGTTCATGATAGTGGTATTGGTGGTGGTTAAAACTTGCAGCTAACTTCTTCCTTTTCTTACTTCTGTTTTATTTTAAATATAAATAAACAGTGTGCAATTAATTTAATCATATATGATGTATACGTAAATTAAATTAATACCCCTTCAATTGAGTTTGGGTAGTCTCTCGAGTGAGACATGAGATTGTGACACGTGTAATAAAGAAAATGAAGGGCTCAGATTTAAAATTGTATTGGTTTAATTAAAAAAAAAATAGAAAGACATGAAACCAGAAAGTCTAACTCCTTTCCAATGGCTTCTTCATCTCCATCTTCACTATGAACTACCGAGAAACACATATCTAAAAATAGAAACACAAGTAAACAAATTTTCTTACTTTTCATTTTCATCTGAACCACAAAAAAAAAAGAACGAAAACAGTATCACTATCTTCCTTCATACTCATCTCAACTCCCTCCATTCATAGGTATGAGTTGCATCTTCCTATCTTCTTTCCTTATGTTTGAAATTACTTATTTTCATCTCATTAAATTATGTTTCTTAATATATATTCATGTATATAATATTTATTTTTGACATTTTAGTTATTTGTAAATGTTGTTTCATGAGCCTTATGTATTTGAGAAAATGCCTAAAAGTGTACCTCAATATCTACTGAGGAGGAAGTAGAGAGACTTATAATTGTTCACGACAGATCAAAATTAATAAATAATCTTTTGAAGCCAAGCCATTATAACAATGAGTAGCTAAACATTAAAATATAAAATAAAATAAGTAAGGGTGTTAATGGTGATGTGTTTCTGGGTGGTTCATAGTGAAGATGGAGATAAAGAAGCCCTGATTTCATATCTTTCTATTTTTTTTAAAGTAAACTAATACAATTTTAAATCCAATCCTTCAATTACACGTGTCACAATCTCATATCTCACTGGCCTCTCCATTACAGGAGATGAGTCAAACTCCCTTGTATTGATGGAATTAGGCTCCGCTCTCCAAAGTAAGGAGATATAACATTTTATAAATTTTCAAATTTTTTAATTTTAAAGTAAATAAAAACCTAGACCTTAGATATTTGTTTGTATTACACTCTATAATATTATACATGATTTCAACCTTCTTTTATGTTCATCAGAAATTGATATAAGTCACAAACAAAATGATATTTTATTTATTAATAATTGATACAAGTTACATATATCTTTTATGAATATGAAGATTTGTAGAAGAATTTAGTAAAATAATATATCATTATTCTTTTAGGTAAACATCTTTAATACTTTTCTTCCAGGATAATGACAACTTTAATATTACTCACTAATACTTTTCTTCCAGGATAATGATAACTTTAGTATTACTCATGATATAGTACAATATTGTACACCACTTATATTGGTAATACATTCATACTAATGCAAACAGGTGAAAGTTTACTTGTATTAATCGGTTTATGAAAGTATTGTACGCTCCGTTTTAGTTTTTATTTAAAATTTAGTGATTAATGAAAGGAATATAACTTAATTTCTACAAAAATATTGTTATATAATATCAAACACACTGTCACTTGTGTTTGCACCTCTAAAACATGTTTATCACCAGGTATACATTTTAATCTCTTACGTGATATAAAGGAAAATATTTATTAACTTATTTATTAGTTTTGAATGGTAATATACACTTTAATTAATAAATCACCTTGTACAGTTATACATATGTTGTAAATAGTTTTTTATAAACAAATATTAGTTTTTCTTTTTATCCGCACAAATTTTTATAAATTTTATTATAAAGGATTAATTACAAAGAATAAAAAAAGGGAAATTATAAAACAGTACTCAGACATTTAAGTGGATTAACAATCCAATCAGATTAAAAAATTGGTTTTGTCTAATGCTGACTTTGATCCAGAGCCAGATTTCACCATTGCAGAATCGAAAATATGATGGAGTGATGAGTTGAGTGAATTGAAAATGGACTAATTTCTAAAGAGTCATATTGCCCAAATTGTAGCACGTTAATCGGATAACATTCTATAACTTCTAAAGTTTCTTATCTTTTATCATGGTTAATGAAATTAATGAAGGTTTCATTTAATAGGTAAAGCAAAACTGATGTTCAACCATTTGTAGATGAGTTGTCATACATCGTAAGTAAGAGTACAAGAAAAGAAAAGATGTTGAATGAATTCCGGAATAACAAATATTAGTAAGTGAATATTTGTAATGAATGAGATTTGAACCATTAATCATCTTTATCACTTCATTCTTTAAACATTAAATTTTGACGATCTCAGTAATCTCTAATCATTTGATTACCTGTAT